TCCCATCCGATAGCTGGCAAAACCTTTGAGTCTGTCCTCCTTACCTCTTCTTTCATACATTCCATCTTTCTGTTCTTTTGTTCGGCACTCTTTGGTTTGTGTATTGGTATATTTATATGATTTCATATTGCCAAAACATTTAGTTTTTCTTTGATGTACTGTAAAGAGCATTGTTTTTTTGTTTCGGAAAGTTAAATCTTACCATGATTTCCATATTCACTCCCCTCCCCACCAGCATGTTGTGGTCAGTTACCAGTTTTAAATATTTATGATCTCTGTAAATATTTAAAGATAACCAACAATATACTGCTTGTTAAGAAACTACCTTTACTGTTCCTTAATATAAAAACTTCTTCCTCCAAAATTTCTCATGACTAAATTTTATTTAATGAATTTTGTTTTGTTAGTTCATTTGTACAGGAGAAACTTTTGTCTGTAATACATTCATTTATGTTAGAAATGACAGAAACAACAAAGTTGGGATCAATTTACTTCACAAAGACAATCAAGTCCTATTATTTTGTAAATGTCAGAAATAGGTTTCCTGAAGGAAGAATGCAGAGTTAGGTTATAACTTGGACCATAATGTTAGGGACTCAAAATTGACTTAAGATTTAAACACAGTGTAATGTTTATTCCTGTCTTCCATATTTGTCAGGGAATCTTAAGATTCTTTGTCAGAGGAAGAAATTTTTCTGGTGCTGCATTGGGAGTGCAGGGCATAAGAGACTTCCATAAAAAGGCATGGGATTTGCTTGGAAGAACATGGAGGTTTTCTAACTTGGCAGTAATGAATTAGAACTAGCTCCCCTTAGAAATAAAAATTAACTTACATTCTTATTGGGAATTCTTTTGTGTATGTGCTTTCTTGTGTGACCTATTTGATTTTTATATTTGTGAGTGTGCCTGTGTGCATACATTTGTAATCCATGGCATTTGTTAGGTGTAAATAAAATTTTCTATACATACTCTGTGTGAAAAATGGCTTTGGAGCTAGAGGGTCTTGCCATTTTAGTTGAGAAGCAGGGGCCAAATATGTTGTTGTTGCAGAATTCCCAAAATAATTTGACCATCTCTGAGTTCTTTCCCCAGTTTCTGTTGCCCTAGAAAGGCTGGAGGCATTTGGGCAATATAAATGATCTTTGCTATATTAGGATTCTGTCTTGAAAGATACACATTTTTGGATTAGAGAGACAGTGAATTCACATCTTGTTAAAATGACAGCGATCCCAGACTTAAGAGGCCTGGAAAGCGGATAGGGATGTGGGCCTGCTTTTATCTGAAATATGTGCTCTTGTGTTTATCTGTCAGTATTTTTCTTTTCATGGAAATGAAACCACTTTTTTGGGGGGAGGGGGGATCTCCTAATACAGATGGAGGTATAGGATGCCTAGTGTCCAACACAAACCTCTCCCACCTCACTCTACCTTTTAAAAACTGTGGTGTTTATTTTTAAGTGCTCACCCAGTTCTTACCTTTCTTCTCTTTCTTACTGGTTGATCTCATCCACTGCTATGGTTCAGTGCTACCATCTTGACCAGCATTGTTGACTCCCAATTCTGTACCTCTAGTCTGTTGGTTTCCATGGAATCTCCAGACTTGGCTTTTAAAATATCTATCATGTGTCCTTACCTGTTCTTCCCATAGGAATCTTACACTTAATTTTTGCAAGAAAGTATTATCTTTTTTTAAGACTTCCTTTTGTATTTCCTGTCTTAATTGGAGGTAGGCTATCAACCACTTACTGGCTCAAGCTAGATACCTAGGAGTTATCGCTGACTCTTCTTCATTCCTCTTAGTAGCTTCTTATCAGTTACAGAGTTCTGTCACTTTTATTCTCAGAAGAGCGTTGCCCCTTTCAGCCTTAGTGCTCCCGTACAGGCCTGTGTCATCTCACACTCGAGCTATTGCAGCAGCTTCGTAGCTGTTCTCTCTGCCACTAGTCTCTCCTTTCTTCAGTCCATTTTGCACACTGGCCGTTGTTTTTCCAGAATACAAATCTAATCATATTAATTTTTAAAAATAACATTGTCTTCTCCCCATTACTTACTGGATGAAATAAAAGCTGCTTAACACGGCAAATGCTGAGCTATGTAGTATCCCTGGATCTTTTGTATGTAATTCTTTAGTGCATTTGCTTAAGCTGTTTCCTTTGCTTGGAATGTCCTTCTAAGCATTATAGCTGGAATATTTCCATTCTGTTTTTTATTTAGCTCTTCATATGAGCTAGTCAAAATCAGAAACCTATCCTAGAGTCTTCTCTGTCCCTCCATCCTTCCTCAGCCCTTTAATTTTGTCTTACACCAGCTTTAGTCCCATCATTTTGTAGTTACTTGTTTCTTTCTCCTTTATAAGCTCCTTGAGAATGGAAAACAGATACTTTTCATGTTTGTTTCCTTGACACCTAGTACAGAACTGGTACCTAGAAAATACTTTGCAAATGCTTGATTCAGAATAAAAATAATATTTGCCATTATAGCTGCTTTATAGTGTCCTCACCATGTGTGTGTATTAGTTTGTTTTCGCGCTGCTGATAAAGACATACCTGAGACTGGGCAGTTTACAAAAGAAAGAAGTTTAATCGGACTTTGAGTTCCACGTGGCTGGGGAAGCCTTACAATCATGGCAGAAGGCAAGGAGGAGCAAGTCCCATCTTACATGGATGGTAGCAGACAAAGAGAGATTGAGAATCAAGCGAAACAGGTTTCCCCTTTTAAACCATCAGATTTCATGAGATTTATTCACTATCATGAGAACAGTATAGGAGACATTGCCCCCATGATTCAGTTATCTCCACCTGGCTCTGCCCTTGACACATGGAGATTACTAAATTCAAGGTGAGGCTAGGTGCAGTGGCTCACTCCTGTAATCTCAACCCTTTGGGAGGCCAAGGTGGGCAGATCATGAGATCAGGAGATTGAGACCAGCCTGGCCAACATGATGAAACCCTGTCTCTACTAAAAATACAAAAATTAGCCAGGCATGGTGATGGTGCTTGTAATCCCAGCTACTCAGGAGGCTGAGGCAGGAGAATTGCTTGGACCCAGGAGGTGGACAGTACAGTGAGCTGAAATTGCGCCACTGCACTCCAGCCTGGGCAACAGAGTGAGACTCCATCCCAAAGGGGAAAAAAAAAGTCATTATTTCTTCAAATACTGCCACTTCTCCCATTCCAGTTACACATGTATTATACTGCTTGATAGCTTGATACTGTCCTGTAGTTCTAGTCTTTTTTTTCTTTTTCTTTTCTTATTACACCCCTAACCCCTCTATCCTTGCTTCTTTCTTCCCTATCTCCTGTCTCCCTTTCCCTTCTCTCCTTTCCCCTTATTCTCATCACATTTTAACTATGTTTAAATTTGGGTATTTTCCATTGCTGTATCTTCAGATCCTTTGAACTTATTTCTGTGCTATTTAATATATTGTTAATACCATCCAGTTATATTTCTGTTTCACAAATGTGTTTGAATACCGTAAGTTCTTTTGGGTTCTTATGCCTACCGTTTCCTTCCTCATTTTTTTCTTTAAGTTTTTTAGCATATTTATAATAGCAGTTTTAGAGTCCTCACTGACTAACTTTATCATATCGTTTCTGGGACAGTTTCAGCTGGTTTATTTCACTCTGGTTTCAGGTCACATATGCTTTATTCTTCACATTTCTATTAATTTTTTATTGGATGCTGGACATTGTTAATTTTATATGGCTGAGTGGTGGAATTTTTTTTTTCTGCTTCTTTTAAAGAATTTTGGACTTTGTTCAGACAGGCAGTGGAGTTACACGTGGATCAACTCCTTTTGAGACTTGTTTTAAGCTTTATTAGGAAGCATCTAGAATACCATTTATGCTAGAGCTTATTTAGCTCTGCTACTAAGCTTATGAGTTTTCTGAGGTTTCTAGTGAATTCCTAGTTTTTCAGCATGGAAGACTTCTAGTCAGAACCATATGAACTCTGGGAATTGTTCCACCTGTAGATCTCTAGTTATTCTTTGCCTTACCTTTTGAAGTTAGTCAAAGCTTCAAACTGTGCTGGGCTTAATTGTGGGCCACTGATTCAAGTGAATCCTTATGCAGATTTCTGGAATTGTATATGCATAGCTTCCACTTCTCTGGCACAGTTCCAAGCTCTGCTTGAGTACTTTCTCCCTTTACCAGAGTCTGGAAAGTGCCTCTAGGCAGAAAGCCAGAGCAGTGTTAGGTCTCACTTCATTTCTTTTGCATCTCAGAATCACAGTCCTACACTGCTTATTATCCAATATCTAAAAAGTTTTATATCTTTTTGTTCACTGTTCTAGCTGTTACTGTGGGTTGAAAAGTCTGTTTCTAGTTATTTCACCACGGCCTTTGAAAAGTATTTCCTGTCTTTATACCTTTTAAGATAACCATGAAGATAAATAAAGTTTATGTTCCTTTTATTTTATCTGGCTGTTTGGGCCTTTTGGCATATATTGCTAATAACTGCCTATAGTGTTTAGCAATTTCATCTGATCTCCTGTTCACATCTTTAATTATTTTCAAGAGGGCATTTTAAATGGTTCAGCTATAGTACATTAATGAACAAAATAGTACAGAATTACTGTAGAATATTTTAAGCAAATAAAATAGCATGTACATTATATTAAAGCTCGAGTGAATGTTTTTAAAAAGTGCATAAGTTGTTTAAATGGTAGCTTTGTGAAGAATTGGGTTTATCATTGTAGTCAGAAGATTATCAGCTATTGAATATAATTGTCTTTTTTTATCAAAGATTCTTAGAAGTAATTTGAACATAATTGATGACTAATCAAAGATGATCTTTAGAGAATTAAAATGTCTGAAAGCAATCCTATAAACTTACATTAAAGTCTGTATGGATTTTGCTGTGTAGCTTCTGTTGTTCCTTTGATAGTCTTACAGGGAAAAAACAGAACAAAACAAACTCCCATATTTGATGTAGTAGTTGTACATTATTAGGCTGTTAGCGTGTTTCTTAATCTTTGATTTTTATTTTTTTGTTTTTCAGATCGTCAGTATTTAAACATACCACATCATGCGTGAGTACAAGCTAGTGGTCCTTGGTTCAGGAGGCGTTGGGAAGTCTGCTCTGGTAAGTTAGCCACCTAACTGTAACTGATTAGTATAATACAAAAAGAATTTTGACATTTCCTTGCTTTCCGACTTCTAGACATCAAAGAGAAAAGGTGGCATTTTATATATCTGGTATGTGTCCCACAAGGGACAGGAAATCATTTACTAACCACAGATGTATAGTTGTATAATATTGGCTCATTTATTATATTTACCAAGTATTTGTTGGCTATCTTATATGTCAAGCACCAGTGTTTATGATTCAGAAAGGAGTAAGATTGTTCTCACTTTTAAGGAATTTATATTGTAGTGGGGAAAACTGATTATTAGATTCTAGTGGGATATTTCCTTCCCTGTCTTCACCGTAGACTTACATGGAATGAAGGTCATTTTTCGTGTTCATGCTGTTTTAATTTAGTAAATAGTTATTGAGCTTCTACAGTGTCAGATTCTAGGGTCACAGAAGTGAAGAAAAACAGTCATAGTTTCTCACAGAGCTTGCATTATAGTGGAGGAGATGTAATAAATACACAATTAAACAAATAACTACTTGGTTATACTTGTGAGAGAGATACTCTGAAAGAAAAATACAGATTAATTTAGAAGAAAGGCAGAGTGGACGTGGGAGACAAATTGGGCGTTAATACAGTATACCAGATAGTTGTTTATGGAAGCTTGGATTGGGACCATGGCAGTGAAGAAGAGAAAAGTAGATGTTTGAGGATTGAATAAGTGGTAAAACTGACATAACTTGGTGCTAGATTGATATGGGTACTAGGAGAGAGGGAACTGTCAAAGATGACTCCCAAATTTCTAGTTTGAGCTACTACTTTTATGGATGGTTTAAAAAAAGAAGATAAACAGTGGAAAATGAGCTGTGAGAGTCAAAATTAAAGAGTCATGCCAAATTTTATGTTTGTGATATGTTGAAGTAATGAAAAAGAGAAGCCTGCGATATGATTTTGGGTGCCATCAATATGGCAGTGATACTTAATTTCATGAGAATTACGTTACTGTTAGGCATGTAAATTAGTACCTCTGTTGAGAATGTTTAAGAATATCTGTCGTTTTAATGGCATATAACTTTCAATTCAGTGATTCCCTGTCTAAAAATGTAGCCCACATATAAGTTCACATGTGCAAAATGACATGGTCAAGAACCATTGCAACATTCTTTACAGTGACAGGAGTCTGGAAACAACCTAAATGTATTCCGTTAAGGGGCTAGTTAAGTACATTTTAATACATATTCAGAGTAGAACACAGCCACGAGGAAGAATGCAACAGCTCTTTATATACCAATATGCAATGATATCCAAGATGTATTATTAGAGAGAAAAAAGGTTCTAAACAGTGTAGACTATAATATTTTAATATAATGTTTTATATTTTAAAAATGTAGGCTGAGGGGAGATACCTGTAAAATCATAGAGTATCTCTGCAAGGTTAAACAAACTATGGATAACATCAGTTACTTTCTTGGAAGTAGGATTGGATAACTGGGAACAAGGATGGTAGATAAGCTTATTTACTACTGCATAGCATTTTGTGCCTTTTGAATTTCGTCCTGTGCCCATGAATCAGCTTTTCAAAAATAAATAATTTTGGAAAAAATCCACAGGGGTGAAAGAGGTCTAGGGAGATACTAGAGAGAGAAGAGCCCAGACTGAGCTCTGAGTACCTCTCAACCTTGAGAAAGTGGGTAGGATTGGTGGAGTGCGGCGGCTCACGCTGTAACTTCAGCACTTTGGGAGAGGTGCGCGGATCATGAGGTCAGGAGATCAAGACCATTTTGGCTAACGTAGTGAAACCCTGTCTCTACTAAAAATACAAAAAAAATTGCCGGGTGTGGTGGCACGCATCTGTAGTCCCAGCTACTTGGGAGGCTGAGGCAGGAGAATTGCTTGAATCTGAGAGACAGAGCGAGACTTTGTCTCAAAAAAAAAAAAAAACAGAGAAAGTGGGTAGGTTTGGAGGATATAGCATAGTAGACTGTATCTTTACTTGATTGCTTGAAAGTCAAGGAAAAAAGAGGAAAGAGATGATCAGAGATGTGCATAGAGGTAGTTGGATATGATAAAGGAAGCAGCTTTAGTCAGGTTATGTTGCCATAACCATAGTGGGGTGGGTTGAAGAGTAAGTGAGAGCTGCGGAAATAGAATATAGACACTTGAGGAAACTTGATTATGAGAGGGAACAGAGAATGGGGCATAAGCTGGAGGGATATTGGGGTTAAGGGATGTTTTTGCTTTTGTTTTAGAATCGGAGATAGTAAAGCATATTTGTATGCTAGAGATGCTGAAGGCAATTCCTCTCCACTGGAGAAGGAAATGAGGACACAGGAGAGGAAAAGAGGAGATGATCCAGTACAAAAACTAGAGGAATAAAATTATAACGTATATGAATGAATGAATGAATGAGATATCCCTGAAGATTAAGACAGAGGGTAAGAGTCAGAGGAGTAGTAAAACATTACTTTTAGTAAGAAAGAAATGAGGAGCGTTGGAATGTTTTGCATTCTTGTAAATCTTACTAATGTCTGGCTTATAGAAGGCACATGGTCTTATGCCTGCTTCTGTATCCAGTCTCTTGCAATAGCACATGATCTATACCCTTTGGAAGATTTCACTGTAAACTTAGGAGAAGAAGAGTACATCTTAGTATCGTTAGGAAGATGGTTTGACCTCAGGGAGCCTCTGCCTTGGACCGTATTTTGAGAACCTGTGTTCTAGCCTAAAGCATATTAGGAAGCCGTATTAGACTGCCTTTTCTTTAAATTTAAAAATTTTTTATTTTGAATCAGGGTCTCCCCCTGTTGCCCAGGCTGGAGTGTAGTGACATGATCATTACTCACTGCAGCTTCAACCTCCTAGACTTAAGCAATCCTCCCTTCTTACCCACCCAAGTAACTGGGACTCAGGTGCATTTAAAAATTAACTCTGGCTAATTTTAAAATTTTTTGTAGAGATAAGGTCTCACTATGTTGCCCAGGCTGGTCTCAAATTCCTGAGCACAAGCAATCCTTCTGCCTTGGCCTCCTGAAGTGCTCGGAGTTCAGCATGAGCCACTGCACCCAGCATAGACGGCTTTTTATGTTTAAATTATGTGTTGTACTTAGAAGATGAGGTGATTAAATCTTTTATTAAAATGATTAAAGTTTTTGATGTGATTATATCTTGAGTTGCCTTTGAATAATAGAAGCTTAGTAGGAAAAAGAAGTTTGTTTACTATAACTCTTTAGCTCAAGCTAAAACAGTATATCAAATATTCCTCTGAGTAATTTAAGTGTAGATAATCTCAGTCCACATTCTTACCCTTGCTTTTTAGGCAATAATGTACCAGACCTTGTTTTAAAGTTATCTAACAAATATCTTAAAACCCATCTTCTGTACTTTTCTTCACTTACTGAATGATAAACATGTATTTTCTAAAATGTGCTTTTAGATAAATATGTATTTTCTAATATGCGCTTTTAGATACCTTCAAGATAAAAGTAGGTAATATCTGAAAAGGATGAGTGGGCAATATTTTCCAATGGAGAAAGTAAGGCTTTAGACTCAGGAAGATGTATGTTTGAATTTCAGCTGGCAAATAGGAAGAATAACTATTTCCGGGATAAATGTGGTATTTGAATGTGGTTATAAATTTAAAGTGACTAGCTCAATGTCTGGAACATAATAGACATTCAGTACATTTAAATTTCCTTTTCTCTTTTTTTCATCCACCACAATTTAGAAAGGCTTTTAAAAATTTAAGCCAGAAGCTGCTTGCAGTCCCAGCTACCTGGGAAGCTGAGGCAGGAGGATCTCTTGCTTCAGGAGTTCAAGGCCAGCCCAGGCAACATAGGAAAGACCCTGTGTTTAAAAAAACAAAAAAAAAAATTAGAACCTTCGTCACTCCATTAAGGGCAGAGGGCATGGTATAAAAGTTATTATAGATATATAAAGGGGCAGTAGGAGTTTAAATATTGATAATATTTTATTTTCTAGTTCAGATATGTTATTTGCATTCTTTTATTTTAAAAGTTAAAGTAATTAACAGTGTATTGTCAGCATCAGTATTGATGACAATTTTTAACATGACTACCTCCTTTCATAATAAATGTACTCTTAGTTATGGATATGCCCTTGTATTGAAAAATAATAATGATGTTATATTTTACATTTATGTGTTTACCTGGAATTTTCACATAATTTCAATTAATCATTATAACTTGTGAGGTTAAGTAACATTCAAAGGAGTTGTTTCTTTAACTTTTTAATATTTCTCTTATTTTTTTTTTTCCCCCCAGACAGTTCAGTTTGTTCAGGGAATTTTTGTTGAAAAATATGACCCAACGATAGAAGATTCCTACAGAAAGGTAAAATGTGAAACTTGTACACATCTGCTTACAACTAGTTTCTTATGATGTTAAAATTTGATCTGAAGATTTGCTTTTTGAAAATAGTTTTGAGAAATGATACAGGTATTATGTATCTATTTTTAAAAGTTTCATCAAGATAGAATGTTTCTTACAGAATACTACTTTGATATTCAGAGCTCTGTGTTCTGTTACTGATTAGTGATTTATTTGTTCCTTAACGTTGACATTTTCCTGGTGGGGAATTTTAATATAGAAAAAAAATGCACATAAATAGTAGGTGTGTTTTCAACTTACTCTTTTGTTACCAAAAATTAAGACCATCTTTATGCTTAAAGTTATCCCGTCACTGAAGATTTTTATTTTTGCTTAGTTTTATATGTTTAAAGATATTTAATCTTTAGACTACTAAAAAATTGGAGTCTGTTTAATAGTCTAGTGGGGTTACATGCCATACATTTGTCAAAACTCATAGAATGTACAATTACAAAAGCAAATCCTAATGTAAACTGTGGACTCTTGGTGATAACGATGTATTCATGTGGATTCATCAGTTGTAACAAATGTACCACTCTGGTGCAGGATGTTGATAGTGCGGTGAGGGTCTGTATCTGTGGTGGCAGGGAGTATGTGGGAAATCTCTGCACCTTCCCCTCAGTTTTGCTTCGAAACTAAAACTGCTCTAATAAATAAAGTCTATTTAAAAGGGGGAAAAATTAGGTACTTGATCTTGACAAAAAATATTCTATAGAAGACCAGCTAGAGTTGTGGAAAATTTTCATTATTTCTCAAATATATTGGGTGGGGTAGAGTTATAAAAGACTAGTAGCCAAGGATATTTTTTAAAAAGATTAAACTTTAATAGGAAATAATTTTTTTGAAGATGTTTAGAATTTACCTTTAATAGTGCTCTAATTTTGTTGAATTAGTTTGTTAGTTCATTAAGCACTACTAGCAGAGCAGCTTTACTGTCTTCAAATTGGAAACAAAATTATGCTCTAGATACATTAAGAAACTATAGTCCTAATTGATTATTGGTTGAACATTCCCAGTTACAAATTTTGCAGATTACCACACTTTTTTATTATCCTGTAAGTGGGGGGGTGGATGGGTTTATGGTCCGACCAGTGGTGCTTCTCATCGATGTCTGATCTGACACAGAGGCAGAGTTTAAAATAGTCTTTAGGTTAGCACATTTATTTTTAGAAGACAGTGTTGTTCTACTGAAATTTCCCCAAAATAAGTTGCTAGTTAGAGCTTTAACTGCAAAGCAGAATCTGTACCTAAAATTCTAAAGGACTAACACTTCTTAACCCCTTTATTAAAAGTTTTCTAAACAGCTGATAGTTGATACTTTCTTTAGACCAACCTTCTCTTCTTTTCTAAGACCAGCGAGTAAATGGAACTCAGTGTATAAAACTTCATCTTTTATATAGAGCTTTTCTAGAAACGTGCCTTTTTATTAAAGTCTTGAGGACTATGTGAGCTCAGTGCTATTTATTTTAGTACTCCTGTGTTTCTTTTATGTCTTAAATTTGAATTTTACTATGTATGTAATTTTCTGCATATTTTAGTAAAATTTTAACAACTCAAACATGCTAAGTTGGCAAGATTTTCTTTACCCCAAGCTCTTCTTGTGCGCATTTTGAGCCATTTAATATTTTTGTACGTTGTTTTATTTGGAGATAATATAAATATACATAATACTTTTTTCTATCAGAACTATACTTGTTTGTTGAAGTTTTTCTTAAATTCCAAAATACGACTCTTTTGCCTTTAATAAGAACAGATAAGAATCATTACAGAGGAAGGAAAATATCTAAACTCAGCATTAACCATCATGGCTTCTATAATATTAATAGACTGTCCTTCAGACCTCTGTTCTTTATTGTGGTACCAACTTTACTCCCAGCCATTATAGCATATTGCTGGAGAAGGGCTTTGTATTTGTTAATAGATACTTTGGTAGAAGAGTTGGGAAGAAGACAGAATGACATTTCGATGTGCTTTTTAATTTTTTTCTTTGTTTGCCCCTACAGCAAGTTGAAGTCGATTGCCAACAGTGTATGCTCGAAATCCTGGATACTGCGGGGACAGTAAGGATGTTTTCTCATTTTTTGATAATTTGTGAGCAGGTTTTGTCATCTGAGGAATTCTGAGTAAAAGTAATTCTGATTAAGAAGAAATTACCTGAACGTAGGGATTCCTAAGTGTATGAAATCAACTGTGATGTCGTTAATGCTCACACATCACAAAGTTCACCTAGACGATCTCTGTGTTGGGTTTCTTCCTGCATTGAGGTAGGGATTATGCTATCAGTGATCTTTTTAAATGTATTTTAAATTTAGAATTTTAGTTAATATTTGTATTTCTGTGGATTTAAATAAGACCTTGTCTCTTGGCACTGTAGTCATTAATTTTTTATCATTTTTTCTTTTCACTAGCATTTTGACATCTCAAGGGGCTGGTGACAGATATGTTTTCTGAGGAAAGCAAAAATCTTCCTCAGAAGATTTAGGATTATTTTGAGCCTCCTTTTTCTAATCGTTAAATGAGTATAACGACATTAGTACATTATAAGGTGTTTGTGATAAGCAAATGAGATAATAATTATAAATCATTTGGCACAATGTCTGTTACACAGTATGAAATTGTGTATTTGCTTTTATTCTTCTTAATCTTCATTAATATCGTCACCTTTGTTTATTTTTTTGAGACGTAGTTTCACTCTGGGATTATAGGCGCATGCCACCATGACCGGCTAATTTTTTGTATTTTAGTAGAGGCAGGGTTTCGCTGTGTTGCCCAGGCTGATCTCGAACTCCTGAGATCAGGCAGTCCACGCACCTCAGCCTCCCAAAGTGCAAGGATTACAGGCATGAGCTACTACGCCCAGCCTTATAATTTTTTATTAATGATGATGGTTTCCAATTATACTGCCACACAAAATACATACATTAAGCAATCTTTGCTTTCCTTTATTTTTCTCCATACACATAGACTTGATGCATTAGGCAATTCCTAGCTTTAAAATGGATGAGGTTTTTTTGTTTTTCTTATGAGACAGGGTCCTGCTGTCATCCAGGTTAGAGTGTAGTGGTGCAGTGATAGCTCACTGCAGTCTCCTGGGCTCCCTGGGCTCAAGCAATCCTCCTGCCTCAGCCTCCCAGGTAGCTAGAACTATAGGCATGTACCATCACTCCCGGCTAATTAAAAATAAAAATTTGTAGAGGTGGGTTCTCACTGTGTTGCCCCGACTAGTCTCTCAAACTCCTGGCCTCAAGTGATCTTCCTGCCTCTGCTTCTGAAAGTGCTGGAATTACAGGTGCGAGCCATTGCGCTTGGCTGGTATGCTTAAATGTTATAAGTTGTTTAAAATTCAGCACAAAGTTTTTCACTATAATTTTTATAAATGTTGGAAACATTTCAGATAGTTCAAAAAAGCATGTAAGCAAATGGGAGTGATTATATACAATGATATAGCACTAGTTTTTTTTTTTTTTTTTTTTTTTTTTTGAGACAGAGTTTCACTCTTGTTGCCGAGGCTGGAGTGCAATGGTGTGATCTCGGCTCACCGAAACCTCTGCCTCCTGGGTACAGGCAATTTTCCTGCCTCAGCCTCCTGAGTAGCTGGGATTACAGGCACGTGCCACCATGCCCACCTAATTTTTTGTGTTTTGAGTAGAGGTGGGGTTTCAACATGTTGACCTGAATATTTTTCCAATCTTTTTTGGGAAAATGGATCTTAACTCTTATCAGAGAACTTTGCCCTCATAGCAAACTTCTGGTAAAGGCCTTCTGAAACTACATCTTATATTAGCTGAATCAACCTGTCTCTCCCTCTTCCCACCCTCTTGCTCCCTAATAGCTTCTGAATCAGCAAAATTCCCCTTTGCTTCTAGAAACCCCAATAGCTAAAAAGAGTAATTTCTACTTTTTTAAAATCATATCCACAGTGTTCAGACATTCTTTTTTCTTTGTCCAAATTGTAAGAAGGAAGTTCTCCATCACAGAGATCTTTACTTTGTGCTGTCCAGTATTGGGTCTGTCTCCCATGGTAGCACTCAACATGCTGTTATAATGGCCTGTTTGCTTGTCTGTGTCCCCAGTGCCTTGCATAAAACTTTGCAAACAGCTGCTGCTCATTAATCTTGTCAAAATCACTCCTTACTCTGAAGATATTTGTGTGCGTGCTCTCTCTCTCTCTTTCTCACTACTTCAGTCAGAATTCTTAGTGATGTTACTATCCGTGTAGAATCTATATGGATTATTATAGATAATGTACTCCCCTGACCTGGCCTGTCAGTTCCTCGATGTCCGTCGCACTTTTAAGCCATTCATACCATGGTTTTACCCTAGACTGTGTGATAACCAATAACTATAATACCTCCTTAATCTAATTTCCAAGCATCTTATCCTCCAGTACTCACTACTTCTTTCTTTATCCATCTCACTTCTTCTTTTTTTTTTTTGAGACAGGGGCTCTCTCTCTGTCACCCAGGCTGGAGTGCAGTGGTATGAACATAGATCACTGCAGCTTCAAACTTCCAGGGTCAAGAAATCCTCCCACCATAACCTTCTGAGTAGCTGGTACTACTGCAGGTGCACACCACCACACCTAGCTATTATTTTATTTTTATTTATTTGTTTTCATACAGACAGGGTCTCACTATGTTGCCCAAGCTGGTCTTGAACTCCTGGACTCAAGGGATCCTCCTGTCTTTGGCGTCCCAAAGTGCTGGGATAACAGATGTTAGCCACTGCACCCAGGCCATCTCATTTCTTTTTGTGCCCTTCAGCCTCATTGCCGTCTGTAGTCCAGTTATCCTAACATCTTTTTATTATCTTTTATGTCTTCAACCCCCTCTGCATATAGCTTCAGGTTCATGGTCCATCATTTATAATTCTCTCTTTTTTATTTTTTTTATTTTTGAGATGGAGTTTCGCTCTTGTTACCCAGGCTGGAATGCAATGGCACGATCTCAGCTCATCGCAACCTCCGCCTCCTGGGTTCAAGCAATTCTCCTGCCTCAGCCTCCAGAGTAGCTGGGATTACAGGCACGCACCACCATGCCCAGCTAATTTTTGTATTTTTAGTAGAGAGGCGGTTTCACCTCGTTGACCAGGATGGTCTCGATCTCTTGACCTTGTGATCCACCTGCCTCGGCCTCCCAAAGTGCTGGGATTACAGGCGTGAGCCACCAGGCCCGGCCATAATTCTCTTAAATATATCCTCAACTCCCTTAACTTTTCAGCAGCCTTTGACTCAGTTCATCACTGCCTTTTACTGTAAAACCTTTATTCATTTGGCTTCCAAGAAACAATACTTGCCTGATTTTCTCCGTCTCATTGGTTACTTCTAAGTCTCCTTTCCTAATTCCTCTTTACCTCCCCTACCTCTTAATGTTGGAGGGCCTCGGGGTTCAATACTTGCACTTCTCTTTTCTAACAACACTGCTTTGCAGATCTTTAGTTGCCTGGTTTTAAATACAGTCTGTATGCTGATAAATACTAACTTTATAACTGTATCTGTATTAGGCCATTTGCATTATTATAAAGAAATACCTGAGGCTGGGTTATTAATGAAGAAAAGAAGTTTAATTGGCGCACGGTTCTGCACACTGTACAAGCATAGCTTCAGCAGCATCTGCTTATGGTGAATACCTCAAGAAGCTTACAATCATAGTGACAGGCAAAGGGAGTAGGTGTTTCACATGTCAGGAGCAGGAGCAAGAGAGAGGGGGCCACACAATCAGATCTCATGAGAACAGAATCATGAGGATAGCACCAAGCCATTCATGAGGGATCCATCTCTGTGACCCAAGCATCTCCCACAGGCCCCACCTCCAACATTGGGGATTACATTTAGCATAAGGTTTGGAGGTGACAGACATACAAACTATATATCCCCATCTCTTACTTCTTTTCTGAACGTTGAACTCCTATTCTAACTGCCTCTTCAGTATCTCTTTTTGTATGTCTAGTAAGCATCTCAAACATAACATGTCCAAACTGAACTCCTGATACCCTTTCCCTGACCTGGGTCTTTCCAATCTTTCCCATCTCAGTAAATAGTAGCCTTTTAGTTGGTTTTGCCTGAAACCATGGAGCCATCTTTGACTGCCTTTTTTGTTATATTCTGTGTACATCCAAACTCTCGGAAAACCCTATTGGCTTTACCTTTAAAACTTACCCAGAACCCAGCTACCACCACTAGAATCTAATGACACTATCTATCTTGGTCTAAACAGTTGTCATCTGATCTCAGCTGGATTTTTTCAATAACCGCAAAACTGATCTCCCTGCTTTTCTTCTGACACCCTTCAGATTGTTCTCGACACAGTAACCATTATAATCCCATTTAAATGTAAGTTGGATCATGTCTTCCTCAGCTTAAATTATGCGTTAAACTCAGAGTAAAAACCAAAGTCTTTATTACATTTCCCTAAAAGGTCCAAATGAGATCATCTTTCTCTCTGTTCCTTCTCTGGCTCCATCTCCTGTACTCACCCACTAGGTAACAACGTTTCAGTGAATCCAGCCTCCTTGTCGCTTCTCATATACTTTAGACATGTTTCCTCTTGGGGCCTTTGCATTTGCCCTTCCCTCTGCTTGGGGTACCTTTCCTTCACATAACCATGGAGCTTACTCCTTCACCTCCCTCAGATCCTTGCTCAGATGTTACCTGTGACGCCTTCCCTGAGCTATAACATTTATTACCAGCTTGCATACTTGATTTTTGTCTGTCTTCATGTACACTCCTCCAGGGCAGAAATTTTTTGCCTCTCATGATCACTGATAATATCCGTAGGGCTACAACAGTGTCGGTGGATATTTGTCGCGAATGGATGAAACTTAGAAACTTGTAGAATGTCTTTAAGAAGGAGGTTGGCATTCTCAGAAGGAGAGGACACCAAGCACAGCAGGTCTGTAAGGACCGTTCTTAAACTAGATTTTCAGAACTCGGGTTGCCTGTATGTTTATTCTTTTGATTTAATAAGAAGCAAAGACCGTAATCTCTAGAGAACATCATAGAAATAGTATTGCTAGTATTTGTAGCACTTACATTTGTAAGTAAATTCATTTATTGTGTAAA